TCTTTAAAAGAAGAAGTAGTAGCTAATTCTAATACCTTGACTCTGGTCTTTAGAGCCATAAGTTCATTCTATACTTCATTCAAATCATGCTTTAATTTTGGGATTGAGGGTTTTCTTATATCTTGATTTTTGTCCTGGACTCTTCTCATAATTTCCAAAAAGCTATAGTCTTCTCTGGTAGGAAAAAGAGAAGGCTTAGGAGTTGGAGGCCGAAGTATTATTGGCCATATTTATATATTGGACTAAAGCTTCCTTCTTAGCTTCTGGATCACTAATTTTATCAATTAACTTGATAATTAATTTTTCTTCTTTTGTTAAGAGTATTTAAACTCAACCCATTCATATCAATAATGGCTTTATAAAAATTACTGTGACAAGAGTCACTATGATTTTGGTGATCACCGTATTTTGAATCAGAGTCGGAACTTGAAAGTATTAATTCTTCATCTCCAACTTCTCCAATTAACATCGCTTCACCAGATTCAGAAGAACTGTCTGATGATTCCTCTCTTATTAAAAGAATATCATACAATTGTCTTTTAATACTATCCTTGAGTTCAAGAGAATTAATCTTCTTTTGACTCCGCATTTATTCTTATAACGTCCTACTTTACCACAGTTAAAACAAACAGGTATTTTTATTTTTCCCTTTAGTTTAAAGGAATGATCTTTTACAAAAATTTTATAAAATTTCTTTTTCGTACTGGAAGACTTTTCTCGTTTTGAAAATGATTTATAGATATTTATATATATATATATATATATATATATATATATATATGGGCAGTGATTTCATGCAATGGTTCTATTATAATATGATGCAACAACCTTTAAAAAAAATGTTAAGGCTATTTGTTTGATCCAAACTTTGAAATATATACTCTTTTTTAGCCCAATTAATATAGGCCGTCCATTTTTGTGAGATGCATAGATCTAGGCCGTAGAAGGATTTTTTCTTTTCCTGTTTTTTAGATAGATTTGTTATCATTAGATGAACAATGTTAACAAAGAAAAAAATGATTTGGAGTTTGTAAAGGCTAAGATCTTGAAATTCACCAAATGAATGGTCTAGGTTCGTTGTTGGAGGGGACTCATTTTGACCATATCTAGGGTTCAAATTGAACTTTTTTTTCTTGGATTGATTATTGAGATGAAGAAAGTGTGTGTACAAAATTTTGGGTCATACAAATACCACAAACATGCTTTTTTAGAAGTGTGGTTGCATTAGACTATGATACAACCGTTGCTTAGATCGTTGCCCTATATATATGCGCGTAATGATCCTATGAGACCCTCCCACACCCATGTGATAACTTTTCTAGAGATATGTGCCAAATGTAATGATGATCCTTTGGGATCCTACACACATGGGTGTGGGAGGATCTCATAGGATCATTACTCCCTCTTTCTCTCTCTCTCTCTCTATATATATATATGTATATATATATTGGAAAAATATCCAAAGAGACCATTTGCTTTAGTATAAGGTCACAGTTACTCTTGTTCATTAGATTTCAAATAAGGCATTTGTGAGTGTGCCATTAACTAGACTAAAGTTCAAAAAAAAATTTCTCGAACTTCGTGGCACAACCGAAGCCTTCCGACTAATGATGGAGAATTGTGACCTCTTTGTAACAAAGATCAATCGTCTCATAGTATACATATTACGGTTTCAACCTTGTACTATTAAAGTAAGACGCACCTCAGAAACTCATTAGAAAATGTTGTTCTAATGCTAGAAAACCCTCTAATTGATCATCTCAACCTTGAGATATATAAATATGAAAAAAAGAGGATTTCAAATCTTAAAAATAGTAGACCTTTAGAATATAGTATTCAGACCCTCTATTTTCAAGATTTTCAAGTGTTTATAGATCTACTAGATCCGCACCATTTTTTGTGCTTTGAAATTTCATAATAAGGGGTTAAAACAGATTTTCAGGCCACCATAAGAGTTTCCAATACCGGAATTCTTTCTTTTGGCAAGGTTTGGAGGTACGCCGTGCTGAAAAGGTCATTTTCTTTTCTCAGCAAGTACGGGGACGTTGATCAAGGCCACCCTTTTCAAAGTACCTATCTTCCAAATGTCCCTTTCAGATGCCAACCTCCATTGCTGCTTGCTTAGAGCAACTGATGAGAAACTTCTTATGGTCTAGTGAAGGAAACTCCAAAGAAGTCCATTTGGTGCGGTGGGACAAAGTGTGTAGATACGGCTAGGTCACCAGAATCTCAAGTCATCTACCCCCAACATATCAATCGAGTCGATCCGATGCATTCTTATCTATAGAGAATGCTAGAGATCACTTATGACCTTGCAGATGGAGAGGCATTCGAACCCCCTTCATGTCAATACTTTGGCTTTCAAGATCGACTCATTCAACCGGGCCCAGGGCCCTTGGGGTGTGGGGATCTGTAGACTTAGACAATGCAATCTCACTCTCCTAGAGAAATGGTGGTGGCACTTATTCACCCTAGAGGGCCATTTGTGGTAGGAGGTACTGCACATCAAATATTTCACACCTCGATTTGGCTTCCCCAGTGCCAGACCAATAGCCAATCCTTAGGTTTTTGGCAAACTTTGGTCCACTCTACAATAACTTCAAGCCACACTTACGATTCTAGCCTAGAACTGGTAACTGAAGGCTGTATTGGACGGACTTTTGGTATGGTTATACTCCCCTCAGAGACAAATTCCCGACTCTATATAGGGTGGCTAGTAACTGGTCAGCCTTAGTCCTTGACCACTTCCCCATTTCGTCCCACCACAGATCCCAATCCCCATCTTTCAAAAGACCTTTGCTTGACCATGAATTGGATGCCTTCCACCTTCTGGAGGGCCTCATGCACTCAGTCTTCCTGCCTTGCTCGGGGACGGCAGGTTTATTTGGACACAGTGTGCCTTTAGCTTATTCTCAGTATCTTCCTTCTACCTCTCCCTTTTTTCTCCTTCCCCTTATTTCCCTGCCTTCTCCCCCGCATTTCAGCCAAGGTGTCGTATCCTTTGTCCCTCCAAAACTACAGATCTTTAACTAGCTAGCCTCACTCGAAAAGTTGTTGACAATTGATCACCTCCAGAGGAGAGGGATGTCTCTCCCCAATCGTTGCATCATGTGCCTTTGGGAAGAGGAAATGAACGCCCACTTTTTTCTTCACTGCAAATTGGCTACCGAGATTTGGGGAGCCTCTTGACAACTTTTTGGGCTCTTTTGGATCACCCCACCTTCCCTCCCTTGCCTCTTCAACATACTTCAGTTTATACCGTGGCTTAAGGCAAACATCTTGTTATGGAAGGCGACCATATCTGCTTCTCTTTGGGTAATATGGATTGAGCGCAATAGTCATATTTAGCCACCTCAGAAGGGCTCAAGAAGTGCATTAGATCCCTAGTTTACCTTCGTGGCTGGAAACCACAAACAGCTCAACCACTTCTTACCAGCTGATTTTTTGCTCAATTGGCAGGCATTATGCCATCTTACCACACCTAGGGTAAGTCGTTTTGTTATAAGGTAGGCACTTGAACCAGGTCAACTAAAGCTCAATTTTGATGGCTGCTCCCTTGGTCACCCAGGGCCAGTTGTACTTGTACATTTTCCTTTATTAAAGTTAACATTCTAAAAATAAAGGTGTTTGCATATTATAAAAACGACACTATATCATCATCCGAGCCTTATCCCAACTATTTGAGATCGGTTACACGAATCTTGTTATGCTATTTCAATCTATCAAGGGCCATACCCTCAGTCCAAACATAAGTCATCATATCTTTTCGCACTACTTCTATCTATGTCGTTCAGGGCATTTCCCTCGCCATTTTAGAGCCTTCCACTTAAACCATATTACCCCTACTAACCAGTGTTGTTCTCAATTGATAGCTTGACTATTTACCTTTGGAATAGGGAGGTCACAATTACATAAAACCATCTGATGTGAAATTTGATAGCTTGGGTGTGTCACAAACTTCAAGAAAAATTCTTTTGAACTTTGAGATTGGTCAATGAAATAAATGCAGCCACCCAACTTCACATCCAATGGTCAAGATTAATTGTGACCACTTTGTGACACACCCAAGCTATCAGATTTCACATCAGATGGTTGTAAGCAATTGTGACCTCCCTCTATATATATAGGAAGCCACTACGCAATGCCTAAGGCGAAAATGAACAGTGTTTTCACCCATAAGCTTGGCGCCGTCTGATTTTTTCGGACGGCGTATTTTTTCACGTAAAAAAACACAGGCAACCGCAACTACTACGGCTCCTGTAGATCCGTGGCGGTTTTTAAGGCAAAACCACCACTGACATAGCATGTCTATAGCGGGGCAAAACACTATTCAATTTATCCTATAGGCGTTTTTAAGAGTTTTCTATATATATAAATAGGGGGTATGTTAGGGTGCACACACTATGGAGTAATTTATCATTGTACTCAACAAAATTTGGACACTTATACCCGTATTTTATACATAAAGCTTTTTTTTAGTAAGGATATTTTGGTCATTAGGAGAGGTGTAATGTCATCTACATCAGGTGTGACATCACCCATATGGAGCATTAAATGCCACTTGTATGCTCCATGTGGTGATGTCTCACCCCATGTGGATGATATCATACCCTTTCTAATGATCGAAAATACCCTTCTTAAAAAAATGCACCATGTACAAAACAAAGGTATAGAAGTGTCCAAAATTTATTGAATACAATGATAAATTACTTCATAGTGTGAGCATCTTAATATAACCCATATATATATATATATATATACACACACACACAAGCTCCCCATCAAACACCTATTTTCTAAACTACTGTCAACTCTGCCACCCTAACTGCACTATTAAGTGCCACCAACTTCCAAGTTCAGCCAAGCAATTCTTTTGTAGCAAAAGCCCACTAAAACAGCCATACAAACAGCGCAAATAAACTGTAGAAAACTCAAAAACCATTTCAGATAGAGAAAAGAAAAACATCTTTATTGCCCAGAATTAAGGAGGTGATGATAACCTTCTTCATGTATTTCTCCACAAGCCAAGGAACTTCACTACGGGTCTTGAAACCACCTAAGGCCGTTCCCTTCCATACATGCCCAGTAACCAGCTGAAATGGCCTTGTGGAGATCTCCTGTCCAGAAGCTGCAATACCCACGATCACAGATGTTCCCCAACCCTAAGAAGCAAACAAGCTTTGCATTATTATGGCCTTGTATCCTCAAAAAGCAAAATTCATAGGAAGCCCCAAACCAAGATATTTGCATTGTATTATCCACTAACCTTGTGGCAGCACTCTAGAGCAGCTCTCATGACAGACACGTCGCCTATGCACTCGAAACTGTAGTCAACCCCACCATCAGTGAGTTCAATGATAACCTGTTGTATTGGTTTCTCATGGTCTTTTGGGTTCACAAATTCTGTTACTCCAAACTTCATGGCTGACAAGGAGATTCCAGAATCACTGTTTGGTAAATTTCCTTGATAAGTTTTCTTTACACATGAGACTCGTATATTTTTTGTAGTATGTTGGATTCGACCACCTTTGCAAAGATAAAGGAAACAATATCCAACTTTATGAGCATATGACACACGATTGTCCGTAGTTTCAAGTACGCAGAGGATCCAGGACTGCTAACAAACTTCAGTTAATCCAGACAGATTAGTCATATAAAAGAGTATCATATATTCATATTATTTTTTCAAACAATAACTCTTTATTAAATAAACAGGATGTACAGTTCGCAAGCAACAGACATTATGCAAAATGGTTAAGTGTGTATAAATGGATTATACACAGATAGGACAGAACTCCTCCTTAGGCTTAAGGCCTTATGATCTAGAGATTGGTTCTGAGGCTCCGCCTTTGGCATGGAGATCAATATCTTAGTGGGCCTCTAGTCAAGTGCGTCAAAAGAATACTTGCATGGAACGCCATAGCTCAAAAATTTGATCAAATGACAAACCCAATCTCCAGTGGTGGGGCACATATCTTTTGACCCAATTTATCGCATTCAAAGAGTCCCCTTCAACCAATATTGTGGATCCCCAGTTACTATCAAACAGTTTTAGCCCACAAAGCAAAGCCTGGACCTCAGCAAAAATGGGGCTACACCAAGTGGGACAATATAAGATGTTTGGTTTTTGCAGAGAAATTCCTGAATATGCCCCTGATCGGGCTAGAACTGGGTTGCCGAGAGAGCAGCTGTTGAAGTTTGGTTTAATCACACCAGTTGCAGTACGAACCCAAACGGTAAATTTCATCATGGCATGCCTATGGATAGGTAGATTCTCCTCCCTCTAGATCCAATTGCTAGCAAGGGCCTTTTCAGAAAAGATCCGCCCATTGAAAGCCTGAACTTTTGGTGGAGCTGGGCTAAACCAGGCCCCCCTTGTCAATGACGGGGTCTGGTTGTTGGGGGTCAGGTCGACATAAAAAGTGGACACTGAGAAACAACTGTGGGAGAAGGGCAACATACCATTTTATCTGTTCCACTTCTAGGGATGAAAAGCGAGTCTAGCCTCCCCAATAAGACCCAAAACTCAGAAACTTCAAAGTCATGGAGGTTTCTCCTAAACCCTGGTGACCAAATAGTGTGATCCTTCATCACCTCGTAAGAGCGAGAGATGGAGACATTTGGGGCTGAACCTATCTGGTAGAGGTTTAAGAAATTGACTTCCAGAGGTACCTATCCTAGGCAAGTGTCCTTCCACAAACCTCGTACAGTTCCCTCTTTTAACAACAAAAGTGCTACCAGTGAAAACCCAAGTAGTGAATGCTAGGTGGGTGTTTTGCCAACCCTTTCCAAGTGCCTGAGAGACAGAGCTATGTTATGCATTTGGGAAGCCAGCCTGAGTCGTCCAGACATTACAATTTAGGATTAACTGCTGCGAAAGATGCACCTTTTGAGTGGTGAAGCACTACCACCACTCACCCAAGAGTGCTATTGATGTTTTTATGGTTCCTGATGCCTAACTCTCGTTCTCATTTAAGTTTACACATTGTGTTCCTTTTGACTAAGTGGAATATGTGTCTCTCTCGCACCCGACCAAAAACATTGTTGCACAAGCAGTGTAGGAAAAATCGAACTAGAACGGTTAATCAGACATGGGGTTAGAAGAGATTCAACCGACCTAACCGGTAAACTGGCCGGTTGAACTGGCCTAACTGGTCAAGTCCCAGGCAGTCAAAAAAAGTGTTAAAAAAAGTAAAAAAAAACAAAACAAATCTAATAAAATATGAAAAGTATATTTAAAACACGATTAAAAAAGTACATCCAAATGAAGTTGAAAATTAATGAAAAAAATGGATTTTAAGGAATCAATTTGTGACTAGGGATATTTTTGAAATTTTCTAAAAAGATGGAAAAATATAAAAATAAGTATAATGGCCAAAACAATTTCCAATCTTTGCTAAAATGATTAAAATATTAAAAAATGCATTACAAAAAAAACCCTTATTTTTTGGGCTTTTATATAAATTTTTTTAAAAATACCCAACCAATTCACCAAAACCGGCCGAAACCGGAATTGACCGGTTCCGATCTAACTTGGCAGTTACTATTTGAACTGCCTGATTTTTCCTACATTGTGCACAAGGCATTTGTGATTGGTCGCGATAGCCACTAGCATGCAAGACAAACAAAACTGAGATATAGGCATATTTCAGAGCGTGGTAGTGATTAGTGTGACTCTACATAATAACAACAATAATCTATCCCTCCATGTTGCTAGCCTTCATTCAAGCCTCTCGACCACCATCCCAATGAGTCATTCTAGGATTACCCAAAAAAAGTGGAGGCCCAGGAATTGTTGGCCCAAATATAGTGGATCTTTTTGGTTTTCAGAAATAAGTTGAGCTAAAATAACATGCAAGTTAGGTTTTGAACTCAACCAGAATTATTAACAAACATATGACATGCAACTCTTATCAAAACACCCATAAAAAGTCGTCGTAAATTTCTTTGGGACTTAAGATGGTGTACAAAAGGTCACTAACTTTGTTATCCACAAAAGAATCAAAGTCCAAAATCAATTGCAACTATTATAAACCTCTTCCAAGCAAACCCCAATATAATTTACAGCAATCATGTTGTTGGGTATGTGTGGCCATTAAAGACCTTATGATTGCTTGTAAAAGAATTGTATAGTGGAACATGAACTCAGTGGGAGTGTGGTCCCGTGTGGAACATACTAAGCAAACGATGTTTGCTGATACTAGACTGTGCTTAACGTGCTAGGTCAGTCTGGTTGGGAAAAACCTAGGCATAGAGAAATAAACCGATAAGGTTTAGATGGGTTATCCCTTGATGAGGTCGGAGTATGCCTGGAAGAGTGAGCCGAGGGACAGTGTGACTCTTGTATGTGATGGAGACCGTCAGAGACGGGGCCAAAGCCTCATCATTTATACCATCACACGACATGCACATTGATAGCCATTGTCGAAAAAGCGAACCACCTTTCAGGATAAAGAGTGTGCATGTGCGAGAGATACCCCTTGTGCACAATCGAGCAATGAACTGCATCAGGTCAGGATGACCTTGGTGTCGCCTCCTGGGGGGACCTGAAATTCATATTTGGGACTACGACTTCTTGCCTATTGGTCTATCTATGGAATGGAGAGCTCATCTCTCTCACCCCACAAGTCACCCAAGATCAATGGTGCATATTCAATCTCATATGAGTGACAAGCCAAGAAAAACCCTAAGAAACCCTAATAATGTTCAAGCACTATAAAAAGGGGTTGTCCCCAGCCCAAATCTCTACACCACAACTTTCCATCTCTCACTCACCCACAAAGGGGGCCGCGTCCCACTCTCTTAGAATCTCTCTCTCTTAAGAAAGTTTCTCTCTCTCGTGAAAGGCCTCAGGGGCACGCCCTACTCTCTACTCATTGCTGGAGTTTCTCTCTTGTTCCCATGGTGTTTCTCTCATCTCTCATTTTGGGGTTAAGTCTATAGGGTTGTGGTAGAAAGAGAAGCATATCTCTCAAACTAGGTTATCGAGGGGGTTCACTTAAGGGTTTGAGATTTATGATGCAAGGGTCAATGTTCCATGGTGGGGCTTGTCCAAACTTTCTTTTTTGGTTGAGATTGAAGGTTGACCATTAGATCGCGTGCCATCGAAAAGTGATGACTCGGTGTAGGGCGTAAGAAGCCCGGTTGAGGTAACTTTGATACCCTCTTTTGTTTCTTACATATTTATTTATTATATCTTTTATTCCCAAGCATAGATTGTGTCTTTTATTTGTTATTGAAAGAAAGGTCTTTGAATGGCTACAAGTTCTTGAACTCCTATTGTATTCTTTTATTTTATTTTATTTGAAGTTATTATATTGTAAAAGGACTACTTGCGAGTGATCTAGGCCATGAAGAAAAGAAAAGGAATTGAAAAAGAAAGAAAAAATTATAATATACTATGGCTCGATCACACGAGTTCTTTCACATGTACCCATAAAAAACCCACCCAAATCATTCCAACAAAATAAAATGATGCTCAATCATTTTTCTCTTGCTCTTACAATCTTTCTCAACCTTCAAATTCATATGGATTTGCAGGCACAGCTTTGTAGCTTTTTTAGAGAGAGAAACTTGTTGAGAATGAATTTTTCAGTAATATATTATAGAATAGGGAAGATAAGACTATTACAAAACAATGATTAGCAAATAGCCTAGAGAGAGAAACTACTGTGAGATACAACACAATGCTGTAAATTATCCTATGACACTGGAGGGCTCTAACAGAGATGAGAGGCACGCCCTTGGTACCCACCTCACAAGGAAGCTTAAGAGAGGAGAAAGAGGTTTTAAAGAGAGAGAGCTCGTGCAAAAGGTGCTCTAGCCTCCCAAAACCATTCCCCATACATAACCACAAAGAGAAAATGAGAGAGACATGTAGAGAGAGAATGACCAAGTGTTGCCTCTCAATGGCCACTTGTCCCTCTCTTCACGTGACTCTTTCTTTTTCTCTACAGAAAGAACTAGCCTTTTTTAAAATACATTTTAAGTGAGGTAGAAAAAAGAAAAGAAAATAAAAATTGGGCCCTTATTTTCCAAATATTTAAAAACACATTTTCTCTAACATTACCCCACTTGTTTCAAAATATTTCTAAAACCATCATACAAACTTTTAGTAGATATATAGAAGTTGCTTGAGATGTACATCCTCAAACAACAAATTCATCTACACATATGATCCATCCACTCAAAGGCATCAACCACACACATTTCCAAGCTCATCAATTGTTGTGGCATATTGCATGATCATCAACCATATAATGAACTTCACCTATATGTTTCTAGATTAATGGACTCTCTCTCTCTCTCACTAGTGTCCTCTAAAAAGCATCTAACACTCACACCGTGAAACATACATCACCAATGGAGTCTCTGTCACTTGAAAAGGTGAATAACCTCAATACAATGAATCATGTCATTATCCC